CCAGGGTTTGCAAGCAGTTCCCAGAGCTGTGCCTTCCAAACAACTGGCCAGAGGTGTTAGGAATGGGGAGCAGGAGGTCAGTTGTGGCCAGAGCCCATCCATAATGATGTTAGCAAGTGGCGTGGCTGCGGCCCTGGCATTCCAGATGAAGAGAAATTTTAATGGGGACCGGGCCCTTTTCTCTCGCCCCATCACATCCGGTGGTTTAGTTGACAATGTTTTCCTTTTGGGAGATGATTGGTTTTCTCCAGCATCCTGGAGGTAAGAATGAGAATAAGGAAACAAAGGCAAGGCCTATGCAGGCGAGGTTGTGGGGATTAGAAATATTCTCTAAGGATTTCCTCTTCTGGAGAGACGAGCCTTCAAACGCAGGTGTTCCACAAGCCATCCATTGCCTTGCGTGTCAGGGAGCGGCCAGAGGACTGAATTCTGACTTGCTGCTGGAAGATTGGGTTGCACAGGAAATGCATTTTGGTAGAAGGAAAAGAACAAGAAGCAGGAAGTGAAACGGAAAAACCAGGGGCTTGGGTTTTGCTTAGGACTTAGGGCTTGGGAGAGTCAGTCTGGTGTAGGACCGCGTTACTCAGAGGGGAGTCTATTGCCAGCTGCTCCACTTCACCTGGTTCTGAGACCTTAGCCCGGAAGGCAGATTTGCTGACTCAGAAGTTACAGTGTGACGGGAGTAGAAGTCACATTGTAACGGGACATGGTGGAGGTTACATTGTAACTGGGCATGGTGGAGGTTACATTGTAACTGTCATGGTGGAGGTTACATTGTAACTGTCATGGTGGGGTTACATTGTGACTGGTTGTGGTGGGGGCTACATTGTAACCGGGAGTGGTGGAGGTTACATTGTAACTGGGCATGGTAGAGGTTACATTGTAATTGGACGTGAAGATGCAGCCCGGCACAGATTTTGGGACTCAGAAGTTACATTGTAACTGGACATGGGGGGCCAGCACTTGAAGTCTGAGTCAACAGCATTGCTTAAGCCTTGGAATTTGAAACTAGACCCTGCAACATAGTGCAACACAGAGAGAAATAAAAGAAAAGGAAGAAGAAAGAAAAAGAGAGGGGAGGGAGGGAGTAAAAGAGAGAAAAGAGAGTGAGGGACAGAGGGACAGGAAAAGGGAAGAAGGAAATTACCTTTATTAAAATTTAGCATGGGCACGTGCCACAACAAACATGTGGAGGTCAGAAGGCAACTTGCAGGAATTGGTCCTCTCTTACCATAATATGTCAGGCTTGGCAGCAAGCACCTTTACTTATAGCTGGACTTTGAACTTTGAACCACTAGTTCCCAAATAATGACACAGAGATTTCTTATTAATTATGAAAGCTCGGCCTTAGCTTAGGCTTGTTTCCAACCGGCTCTTATGACTTAAATTAACGCATTTCTGTTAATCTATGTCCTGCCATGTGGCCTGTTATCTCTCCTCCATATTGTTTGTCCTACTTGCTCTGTGTCTCGCTGGCCAATCCTGCCTCTCTTCTTCCCAGAGTTCCCATCTCTGCCCAAAAGTCCCGCCTATCCTCTCCTGCTTAGCTATTGGCCATTCAGCTCTTTATTAAACCAATCAGAGGGTGCCTTGGCAGAAACAATCTTCACAGTGTACAAAAAGATCGTCCCACAACATTTACTCTCTGAACCATCTCACCAGTGCAAAAGTTGCCTTTTTTTTTTTTTAAGCATTATCTTGATGCTGTGAAGGAAATTACTACCTGCGATGAGTTGGACATTACCTCTGCCCTTCCAGAAGCACTTAGCACCCTTCTATCCTAACCATTTCACTCTTGGTATTAAATAAATCCATGAACACACTGTCTTATGTACTTCTTCAGCTGGTTCTTTATAGCTAGAGTTTTCCTGCCTTGCCCACAGTCAGGACAAATCTTTGTCACCCGCCAGTCCCACAGCCGCTCAGACCCAACCAAGTAAACAGAGACTTATATTGCTTACAAACTGTATGGACGTGGCAGGCCTCTTACTAACTGTTCTTATAGCTTAAATTAATCCATTTTCATAAATCTATACCTTGCCACGTGGCTCGTGGCTTACTGGCATCTTCACATGCTGCTTGTCCTGGCGATGGCTGGCAGTGACTCCTTCCACCTTCCTGTTCTTTCTTTTCTCCTCTCTGTTAGTCTTGCCTATACTTCCTGCCTAGCCACTGGCCAATCAGTGTTTTATTTATTGACCAATCAGAGTAATTTGACATACAGACCATCCCATAGCAGTTCACTACACAGCAAGTTCCAAGGCAGGCCATCCTGATATACATTGCAAGACTCAGTCTCCAAAAAAGAAAGAGAGAAGCCAGGCACGGTGGTACACACCTTCAATCCCAGCACTGGGAGGCAAAGGCGGGCAGATCTCTGTAAACTCAAAGCCAGCCTGGTCTACAGAGTGAACTTCTAGCTGGCCAGGGCTACATAGTGAGACCTTGTCTCAAAATAGAGAGTGGTTTTATCTGAAGTTTCTAGAGAGGGGCTGGAGAGTATATTTATAATATGAAGAAGGGGACCACAGAAGACACGAAGGGACCACAGCTTCAGATCTTTATGTCCCGGCTTTCTGCCCTGCTAGGCCTCAGGCTGACAGAGACAGTGTTCCTCGACTAAGGGCCACAACTCCTGGGGAGCAACCCTTTTCCTGGTGGCTTCTGCTTCCCTTCAGGCCTGAAATGGCAATGGTTCCCACTCTGGCTAACATCTCTTTCCCCAGGGAGTTCTCTGAATTCCTGCCTGTGGTTTTGTAAATATGACTTTATTAAACTCTCTTCTCAGCCAGGCATGGTGGCACACACCTTTAATTCCAGCACTTGGAAGCAGAGGCAGATGAATCTCTGGGAGGTCAAGGCTAGCCTTGTTTACAAAGCCAGTTCCAGACCAGTCAAGGGCCACACAGTAAAACCCTGTCTCAAAAAAAAAAAAAACAAAAAAAAA